CGCCAGTCCAATTTTCACCCAAACTGAGTTGAAACTATAGGGTGCGTTCACACTGATCCACATGTTCGGGAACAATTTCAGCACAGCGCACGAATCGAGCGTGTGCTGGAACTGTTCCCGAATTTGGGATCAGTATGAATGCAGCCATACTCATGCCGTCACAGTCAAAATGTAGGTCCCGCAGCGACTCTGCGTCTCAGTTAGCGGGGAACCGTCTTATTTCAAATTGTAAGGCGTTGGAAAACGCATATTCTTGCCACTTTCTCTCAATGTGCATTTTCGGATTCAGCCTTGTGGATAACCCCCGTTAAGTTGATTTTTTCAAAATCGAGTTTTTGCCCGGACACTGTGTTTAAAGAAGAGTACAAGAGTACGCTAACCAAAACCGAAAACTGATCCATCGGCCTAAATCGCTACACGTCAGCAACTGCAAACTTGTGCGAGATTATTTATTTATTTATTTATTTATATAATACGCTCATAGGCGTGCCACTTTGTTAGTCACCAACATAAAAGTCAATGAAGTTAGTAATACATCAAAGCAATTTAAGAGAAACACGAAAACATGAAAAGGCATTCAGTCTCGGTATGAAAAAAAATGCGGCAATTTGAGAATTTGAATCTGCGCAGGCCAAAGAACACTGATTCGAGGAACCGTTTTCGCCAACGTTAACAACACAGGTGCAAGAACCAATGGTAGAAGGAGAATAGAACGATCAGAAGATCCAACCTAAACATCAGCTATATGCAAATATTCCAGTACATTTATAGATCCTAACTTCTTGCGAAAAGAGGATGCGTTTTTACTAGAAATTGTTTCTTGAGGTAAAAGGCTTAACCATCTTGTGGTTCGACAGAAATACGAGTTGAAAGTTTGCAAAAAGCATTTTTTGCTTAGCTTCCTGTAGTGCAAATTAAACCCACCTGTACGCTCTCCACTGGGCCTAAAGATCCAGTATTTACTGACTCGTAATTTAGTTTCTAGTTTTAGGATACGAAAGCAGAACACCAAGTCGTTAACAACACGTCTATGCTTCAAACTATGCAGTTTCAAAACTGCAAGTCTAGCACCGTAGGACGGTAATGCACGAGGGTATTCAGGGTTAGGGAAGTATCTGTAGAAGACTATCCTTGTAAAAACTTTTTGAACTTTTTCGAGCTTCACAACATGCTTTTTTTAATAAGGACTCCAAACAGGTGAAGCATAATCCAAATGCGGTAAGACATATGTTTTGTATAAACGCACGAAAAGCCCAGGTTCATTACTGTGAATGCTACGTAGAAGCATAAACAGCGATGCCAGCGACTTGCTGACGACGAATCATAGTGTGCAGTAAATTTGAGAGCATCATCAACAAAAACGCCTAAATCTTTCACAATGCTTCGGTACTCAAGCTCAGTACCATCACAGATATATGACCTGAGGTGAGTACTGGTGTCGCCTAAGTGCATAACTGAGCATTTTGAAAGATTTAAGGGCAGATCCCACATCTCAGACCATAAATTCACTCTTTCTATGGAAGAAGAAAGGGCTTCGTAGGCTTCTTCTCTTTCCTCTTTTCCATAACAAGCGTATACTTTAAGATCATCCGCAAAAATCTGCACATGGATTTTCGGGTCGGTTTTCATGAATGAAGGCAGGTCGGCTGTATAAAGTAAAAACGAAAGGGGTGAGAGGATTCCTCCTTGTGGAACACCACTGCTGCACAAATACTTTTCTGAATACATGTTTTTCACGCGCACTGTGGTACATACGGTACATAAATACAAATATCACTTGTGCTGGTTTCAGGGAGTTCATGTACGATACAAAAATTGCTACAATAGGATGGCATGTACTGGATCCACGTGGCTACTTCGCTAAAGGTTTGGATAATATGCGACTTTTCGGGAAGGTTTGTAGCGTTTTGGGAGGTGGAGGTTGGTCTGTACATGCCCGAATACTCGTTAAGGGCCCTGTTAAGGACTTCACGTTATACAATAATCCTGATACACGAATTGCGGGACAACCAGGTGTGAATGGAGTTGGCTCAGCCAGGGGACTTGCGCTGCTTCATCAGTTGACCATGGACGGCACTTTATTGTCTAAGGAAATGATACAGGTGATCCTTAGTTAATCCTTTGCTATCTGTACGATTTTCGAGCCCCTCACAGAAAATTTCTGAGCCACTGTTTCCCAACGAATTTGACCACTCTATTGGAGAGATACTTAGCAAAGGATATGGATTTATGTATACTCGAAGTCCTACAGTAAGTTGCTTTGCTTTTAGTAAAAAGCTTCAACAGTCTAGATCTATGATTTGCTAGGGTTCCTGGCAAATTGGACATATGGGCGTTGGCGGACAAATTGTGCGATTTGATCCAGAAAACGATATCGTGCTCTGCTATCTCACGAATGCTTTCAAAGCCGGCAGTTCCGAACACGTCTTCACTTATAATCGACTACAAAAGAAAGTTTATGACATTATAAGGAACAAGAAAATGACCGAATAAAGAATTTGTATCAGAAAATATAAAGGCCGTTGCAAGCATTTGAAACTCCATTTGAGAATTTTTGGATCGCTAGGAAAGCGAGGAAATGAGAACGAGTTTCGCTCAATTTTCTATGCGCCGAAGTTCGAACAAATTTTCAATTTGTTTGGCTTTTGGCCATTGGAGACTGTGAGAAACAGTAAATCGCAAGTCACCAAACCCACCTGTGTAAAGAAGGCACAAAAGGATAGCTCTAGATGTCGTAGATTATTTGCGAGTCTACGACCTTTACCATTGTAGAGTCATATTCTATGCTATATTCTGTATCCACTAGCTTGTCGTTGACAGACATTACTGTTCACGGACTACTTAAGCCGCCAGGTCACCCCTCCACTGTGCTTGATAGTCTACTTGGCGGCGCCTACTTTCATGTAGGCAATCCTTGATTCTGTATGATACTGTTATTTGCCAGAAGTGAGCATTCAGGTTAAAAAAAAATAGTGGCAAAATAGTGGCATAAAAGGGCCTGAATACTCAGTTCTGGGGTTGGTTCGATTATTACCATTATCGTCAGCGGCTGTTCCGCATATTCACTGTTAATAGTCAGCGGCTGCTCCGCTACTATCTAATAAACAGTTATACCCGTTGTGGTACCAGCTTGGTGTATACCAAATTGGTGCATCGGCCAACGGATCGTCTCTTCGGTGCTGCTCACCGAAATTCGATAAAAGTCCCGCGTGGCAGGCTACTAACAGCCGATATTCGACTCTCGTGATTGTTGGTCCACCACTTTCGCGACCAAGAGTCTTACTAAGCTGTCAGGTCCTATCCACAGCTTAGTAGAGATTTCTAGCTAACTGACTGGTTCATCCACAGTTAGCGACAGACTCCTCGCACTCTAGGCAACTAATTAGCCAATATTCGACTCTAGTAATTGTTGGTTCATCCACTTTTACTAATACGAGTCTTGCTAAGCTATCAGGTCCTATCCATAGCTTAGCAGAAGTTTTCTAACTAATTGACTGGTTCATCCACAGTTAGTAAAAGAACTCCTCGAATTTTTTTTGGCTTCCAACAGCCAAAAAAGACTCTGTGATTGCTGGTTCATCCACTTTCACATACAAGAGTCAACTCGCTAAGCTATCAGGTCCTATCCATAGCTTAGCAGAGGTTTCTAACTAGCTGACTGGTTCATCCACAGTTAGTAAAAGAACTCCTCGAATTTTTTGGCTTCCAACAGCCAAAAAAGACTCTGTGATTGCTGGTTCATCCACTTTCACGTACAAGAGTCAACTCGCTAAGCTATCAGGTCCTATCCATAGCTTAGCAAAGAGGTTTCTAGCTGACTGACTGGTCCACCACAGTTAGCAAAAGAACTCCTCGAACACTTTTGGCTTCCCTAAAGTCAAAAAAGGACTCTGTGATTGCTGGTTCACCACTTTCACGTACAAGAGTCATCTTACTGAGCTGTCAGGTCCAATCCACAGCTTAGTAAAGAGGTCACTAGCTGCCTGGTCAATCCACAGTCAGCAGACGACCCTCACAAGCATCTTGACGGTTGACCAACAACAGTCAAATCAAAGCTTGCTGCTAGCTATCAGGTCAAACCATAGCTCAGCAAAAGAAGCTTCTTCAAGCTCTTTATCCGCATTCAGTCCATGCGAACAAGACAAACTATGTCGATGTTAGCTGGGTTCAAGACGCGCATTTCAATAGCCTGCTCTTCGGTCAACAGCCTCGAAAGCAAGATCCTGAGTATAGACAAGGCATTTGAATTCCCTACTACAGCGACGGAATGCAATGCCTTCATAGCCGACAAAATGGCAGAAATTGACGAAATACAGATTTCTCTCACGGGACTGCTAGAAAACCTGGAAGTCCACGTACAAAATGCTATAAACTTCATCGGCACCAGGAAAGACCAATCAGAGGGGGAAAAATTGATGAATGAGCTGGACACCTTCTTAACCCCTGAGACCAATCGCGTACAATTAGAAGCAATCCACTGGACAAACAAGTTGAAGTACCGAATGAGAGAGCTCGAGAAGCAATCAAGCTTGATAGACAACTTCACTTCTTCAACGGCCCAGACACCACCACAAGATTCGGATACACCTGGTACTCTCTCTGCCAGACAGTATAGCGAGAACAAAGTACGACTACCGCAGCTTGAAGTTCCCACTTTCGATGGCAGCTATAAGGAATATCCAACTTTCTGGACAATATTCAACTCGCTGATCCATAGCAACCCGCAGCTCAGCAACGTGGACAAGTTCCTTTTCTTGAGGCAGGCATTGAAAGGAACAGCATCTTCACTTCTTGGCAATATGCCAGTCATCGGAGAGAACTACGACAAAGCTATACTACTTCTCGATAAGCGCTTCAATAAGTCTGGATACATAGCAGATATGCTTATCACAGAGCTCGAAAGGCTTCCACGAGCAGAAGAAGACGCCCAAAGTTGTAGAAAAACTCTGATTAGCGTGACGGAAAAGCTCACTCACATCGAATGTGCAGGAGTACCCTTGGACAACAACCGAATGTGGAGACGACTGATACTTTCGAAGTTTCCAGACTCGCTGAACGAGAAAGTGCTTCGCGAAGAACAGAATGAAGGGAAGTCATTCGCAACTGAGAAGATCTTGGACGTTCTTGAAAACGCTGTCGCTTTAAAGGAGACCCTCGCACTGACTACATCCGCATTCGGGGATTGCAACATCACGACACGCTCTGATTCCGATCAAGAAGTTGATGAGAGGCTGAACTACGGAGAAGACTCAATCGCATACACTTCCAAACCTCGACAAGGAGTTACATCGCCGAAAGATTTGAGTGCTCAATGCATTTGCGGAAGTTATCAACATGACGCGACGCGATGCACAACATTCCAAACACCAGCGGAGCGACGTGATGAAGCCAGGAGACAAAGGCTGTGCTTCAAATGTCTTCAAACCGATCACAGGATTAGTGATTGCACCTGCTCACAGTCATGCTACAAGTGTCACGGAAACCATCACACTGCCGTATGCATGGGTAGCTATTTAGCATCTAGAGGCACCCCAACCAGGAGATCACAGCAACGATCTGATCGCGATCAACATCTCCCAAGAGACCCTGAATTTGCACAAAATTCTGAAATTCTCCACAACAAGAGCACTAAACGAGAAGGAGGAATGCAGCACGTACTGATGACGGCGACTGCATTCGCATACGACTACACATCGACCAGCTATAAGCCCGTGACTGTCTTCTTTGATGGAGGTGCACAAAAGAGCTTCATCAACACAAGGAAGACCCAAGCTCTTGGCTTACCGGTGCTGCAAAACACTACTTTCAAGATTGGCGGCTTTGGAGGATCTACCGCAAATTTCACATCCAGTGAAGTCCCGCTTACTCTGAGAACAATGTCTGCCGGAGTCGCTGCCAAAGCTGTGAAGATACATACAAAGTCAACACTCACTTCCACGATGAGCACAGCTTGGCTAAGCGCAGAGGATAGAAGGTTGATTCGAAAAAGAAAGATTCGAGTAGCACAACCGGATCTGAAGACGCGACGGATCACACCGGACATTCTCATTGGTCAAGATCTAATTGATCAATTCATCTTGAGGGATCGACCATGTACAATTCTTCCGTCTGGGCTTATTCTCACCCCTACTGTTTTCGGCCATGCAATATCCGGAAGCAGTCGTATGTACGGAATCAAAACGGAGGAGTATTCGCAGAACACCGTAATCACCAGCGCCTCCTACAATCATCCAGTTAGTAAAGGAAACTCAGTGAAGCAGAAGCCAACTACAACTGTTGAACAAACGAACCGCGCAAGTTCTAAACGTCATGTGAAGAAGCTCGATTGTTCGATTCCGGCAAAGAAACTTCCACAACCTACAAAGTCACAAACGAAAAGCAGAAGCGATCAACGCAACAACGCTTTTGATGGACTGCAGTTCAATCGCAAACGCCGAAAATCAAGGACTCATGGACAGTCGGTGAAGAAGAATACTGAAGCTCAACTGGGACATTTCGCTTCAGCGTTGCGCCTGGCCCCGAAGGCCGACCACGGCATGATGACCGACCACCGTACGATTCTGAGACGAGGACACAAACCTGTTGTAGAAGTCATGTGATATATGTAATTTAACTAATGTTGTGATGATATAATTTGAAATTGTTAACGCTTCAGTAATAGTGTAATTTGTATTTTCTTGCTTTCGCGCCTTCCGTCGCGCGCCCCACTGTCGTAGATTATTTGCGAGTCTATGACCTTTACCATTGTAGAGTCATATTCTATGCTATATTCTGTATCCACTAGCTTGTCGTTGACAGACATTACTGTTCACGGACTACTTAAGCCGCCAGGTCACCCCTCCACTGTGCTTGATAGTCTACTTGGCGGCGCCTACTTTCATGTAGGCAATCCTTGATTCTGTATGATACTGTTATTTGCCAGAAGTGAGCATTCAGGTTAAAAAAAAATAGTGGCAAAATAGTGGCATAAAAGGGCCTGAATACTCAGTTCTGGGGTTGGTTCGATTATTACCATTATCGTCAGCGGCTGTTCCGCATATTCACTGTTAATAGTCAGCGGCTGCTCCGCTACTATCTAATAAACAGTTATACCCGTTGTGGTACCAGCTTGGTGTATACCAATAGAACTGCAAATATATCCTTTTAATCCTGTATATCGTATCAGTTCCTTGACACGAAAAAAACGCTAAAAATATCAAAAATTTGTGTGAAATGGGAAAAGTTTACGCTGCGGCCTCAGATTGCTTAGATATTCTCCCTACTTCCCGCCACGTCTCGCCCTCAGCCCGCCTGACTTCTCGTGACGTTGGTGGATTTACGACCTCTCATCAAACCCTCCACATCCTTTTCAACGAAAAACTCCAAGTCGAAGATGTTGTGCGACATTATAGAATATGGCAGCTTGAAAATATAATAATCTTTCCACATTGAAACTATCAGGTTGACTAAAATTAGTTCGGTTGTTTCCAATGGCTTAGATATGTTACAGATTTCATTATGAATGTATGATCAATGGAAAGAACAGATCAAGGAGAATGGGATAGTGAACTATGTTTGGAGTAGAGAATTTATTAGGTTGTCCCGAAAGTTTTGTCGGTTTTTTTCATCGCTCACCAAACCTCACAGAACACCATTCCATGAACGGCCTAGGTGTCATTCTACTCACATTTTTATCCTCTTTCTTATAGCTATATTTGTTTCCTGATATACCCGCTCTTTGCGATGTTATCGCCATGGCTTTTTGAGCATCTCAGCAGTAACGCCAAAACTTTCCTGAATTTTCAAAATTTAAACCTTGATATTTTCGACAGCGCTGGTGACTGCTGTGTAGGGCAAACCTTTGGCTACATTGTGGCTATTTTAGATTACGTGAGCCACGTTTATCAAGTCCGTATTAACTATTTGTTTGAGAAAAACCGCGGCTTTTTGAACACGTTTTACCACGTAAAATTACCGAAAATTCCAAAAAGCTGATTTTTGAAGCAAATTAAACGTGTTTATGTTGCATAAATGATGTTTAATAACAGTCAAGTTTGAATTCGCAAAAACTTCAAAAGCTTTCATGCTTTTACTGCAATTGCGCGTTTCGTGACTTAGCCAAAAGTCGAGACCTCAGAAAAAATTAATTTTTTGAAGTCAAAATCAGCAAATTAGGAGAATCTAAAAACACCATCTTGTAGCCAGAGAGTTGCTCTATTTGACCCATACTTGATCTTTTTCGAAACTTTGTAACGAAGTTTTTAAAAATTAGCTCAATTGAGCAGGTAAAATTGACAGGTGGAGAATTTTGGCAATTACCAAAGAAAGCATATAACATTATGGTATGAAAGTGCATCCATAAGAAAGAGAAGGAAAAGCTGCATCGAATGCATGTTAAAACTCACTCAGGTCTTTCATGTGCGTGGTTTTACAGTGGTTTGAAAAAACGGACAAAACTTTCGGGACAATCTAATATATAACGAAATGGTGCAAAAAAAATAGAATTTTTCGTCTATGAAAAAACGTGCGTCGAGAAACAAGAAGCTTTTAGAATCTACGTTTGGTACCCACAGCAGCTTTCCTATCCAAATATTTATGTAAGGCAGATCGTGCCCGCGATGCAATCTACGTCTCTATCGCGCCCGTGCTCTCTGAACATTATATAACCTCAATTAAGTCACAGAGCCCCGCTTTCCATCCGCCGAGCTAGTTGAACTAAAGGTTACTTATGAGCTAACCTGCTAGATTAGAAAGCAGGCGCTTGAGGCCATATCACAGGTTCACGTTTGACCATCGTCAAACCATCCTAGAAATCTTCAGTTCAAAAATAGTCATTTCAGCAAGTTTTAGGTCCATTTTGTCTCGTTGTATTGTTTAATATGAAAGAGAAGTTCTGTAAATCGTCAAACCCATTTCGTAACAAGGGTCGAGCAAGAGTGTGGCACACGGCTGCCAAATAAGCCCCCCCCCTCCCACCCCTCAAGTTGTGTCAGCAAGGTCCTCCAAATTACCGTTCGCCTACCGAAAGCATAAGAAGGAGATCCTAATCAAGATGAGAGTCATGTTCTTAACCAGCATGTCATAACTCTTGTAGACCAGTTTTAGCAATGGTTTCGCCACTAATCCGCTATCATTTCGACGTGAGATCGAAAATACTAACAACAAGATTTCACATTCAAGCTTTTATACAAACAAAGGCATCAGAGGATGTCATAGTAGCCTCAAAGATAACTATTTCACAATTTAGGCTTTGGTCATATATTATCCGTAAAACCCGTGTTACCGGTGTTACCAGTGTTACTAGTGTTAGCCGTGTTACTCGTTTTAGACATGTTACTGTGTTACTGGTGTTATTCTGTTACTAGTATTAGCCGTGCTACTCGTTTTACCCGTGTTACTTGTGTTACTGGTGTTACTAGTGTTACTAGTGTTAGCCTGCTACACGTTTTACCCGTGTCACTTGTGTTACTGGTGTTTTTAAAATGGTAAAAATTGCGGGTCAAACGGATCCTCTTGGCTTTTGACCAGCAAAATTGGGAATGTAGTACCACTTTTTGGGAAGTCATGGATATGTCTGACAAGCTATGTGGAAGCCATAAACTTTAGCCCAGAAAATTCAATCAAAGTTAATAACTTTACGAAAATGGCACAAAAAAGAACTAGTTGCGCAAACGTTCAATTTGCCAAGATTTTTCTTGATCATTTGAGAATATTTTTTGCACAGAGATAAAGCACGTCATGATTATTGTCCTTATGGCAACTAGCAAGCCATAAAGAGTCCAAAAACCGATTCAAATTTGCATTCATTTTTCTGGGGAAAGTTTTATCCACGCAAAATTACCAGTCTCACATAAAGAAGTTCTACGAATGGGTATTTAGGCTTTGGCCATACTTTGCCCGTGTTGCCGATGTTACCAGTGTTACCGGTGTTGCCGATGTTTCCAGTGTTACTCGTGTTACTCGTGTTGCCGATGTTTCCAGTGTTACTCTTGTTACCACCTTTATTGTTGTTGATTCTCGAAATGATCGCCAGTATTCATTCTTGAAGCAGTCTCACTGAGTGGTGAGTATACAGGACATAAGGCGATCATACTGCAATAATAATACCATGCTAGAAACTTGCTTCAAAAAAGTTTTTTTTCTTTTTTCTTTCAGTTTTTTTTTAGTTTCGTTTTAATAGTTTGTTTTTCAAAAAAGGGAATGTGCTCCCTTTTCACATACGGCCGCGAAAATGATAACACGTCCGAGGACAAGGTTTCTTGAAGTTCGATCAAGGCGTTGGCCAGTACGTAGAGCTCATTGTGCTACAAATCAAACAATATGATTATATTTGTGTCATAAAAACTTTTCGAAGCAAGTTTTTAGCATGGTATTATTATTATGATCGCCTCAGGTCCTGTATACTCACCACTCGTGAGACTGCGTTCAAGAATGAAACTGTACTGGCGATCATTTCGAGAAAACAGCAATAAAGGTGGTAACAAGAGTAACACTGGAAACATCGGCAACACGAGTAACACGAGAACACTGGAAACATCGGCAACACCGGTAACACTGGTAACATCGGCAACACGGGCAAAGTATGGCCAAAGCCTTAGAAATCATTCGGATAGCCTGCATAGCGCGGTGAGTTTCAATGTCATTATTATGCCGGAATGAGTAAGGCATACAAAAAGCAGAGCCAGTGCGAGCCTCTGCGAAGCAGAGGTGACGCATTGGTAACATTATTAGCACTAGTAACACGAGTAACACGAGTAGCAGGAGTAACACGTGTAACACGAGTAACATTAGTAACACCGTAACACGGGTAACGTATGGCCAAAGCCTTAGGATTCAACCCAGAAACACGGCCTGCCCTTACAGACTGTTTCACCCCTAAAGGGAGACGTTTCACAAAAAGCACGCCGAAGGCTTTGCGTGCGCATAGCGCCGATATTTTGCCAAGCAAGGACTGAGAAGAATGAAGAGACACAGACACGAGTTTATGGCACGATTTGATGTACTATAGCTGCGAAACGGCGGGCGTACGCTCGCCAATCCGCTTTCTGCCTCAAGCGGGCTGGAATTTACTGCACCATGCCGAAGCACTGGCACCTTGTTAACGTGTCTGTGATTTAGGTATCACGGCGATGTCATCACATTTAAGCTTTAGCTGTCTACAATTTCGGAACTTCTAATCTTTCAAAAGCGTTGTTTTTGCTATTAACAAATTTCTTGATCCCTGATACGTGTAAAAAGAAATTAGTTTCATTGCTAAAAACTAGAGGAGATAATCCTCTTCCTTCTTCAATTTATGTTCTAAAAACTCGATGTTGACCGTCTGCCGAGAATTCAACAGAGGTTGCACGGTAATTTGAACGCGCCACAGCTAAATATGCAGCAGAGAGCTTTCCTATCGCGGAGATGGCAGGACGAGTTGCCCAATGTCAAATCCTTTCCAGATTCACTACAAGTTATGTGGTATCCAGAAGCTGCGATCCGTCAATATTACGCATTATGCAGTTGATTAATCCATCGAGAACGTCAATCAAAAAACAATCTTGGATCTTGTTTACCAGGGAGATATAATGCTAAATTAGTAAAAGTTGTTTTCAAATTGTTTCACGAGTGCATCTAGACTATCGTTGATAGGAACAAGTTGAAGCAATAATCAAGGGAGATATTAATCGAAGAAACGACAAGCAATCACAAAACTTTCGAAATGACCGACCCGTCCATACTACTCCTTCAGCCGTGATACTAAATAGCAGCAGATCGTCGGAAGTTGAGACAGGGCTCATTCGAAAAATTTCGTTCAGGAGTTCAAAGTTGGATATGGGTCATAAAGGGGTCTCATGATGTTAATCATTGCGAGAGCAGAGGTATATACCGTGAGTATTCAAGAGTATCTAATATGTAAATAAACGTTAGCGCAATTCAAAAATTTGCAATTAGCGGGAAACCGCGTAGCGGTCCCGCGCGCAGATGCAGACTGACACCTTTGATTATTGGTTCACTAGTTTCTCTAAAATTTCGAAGCGCAGACCTGCGCAGAGAGAGAGTGATTACGAAATCGTTAGCAGCAGATCGCTTCACCGCATGCGATGAGAAATGTGTTTTATGATAATAGTTGTTCCTAGTTGTTCCGGTTGTTCCTCTGCTATCGTCTTCGTGAATCATCAACGCTTCGTGCATTGAGGAGATCTCCAAAAGGAAGAGAACACAAGCTGTGTTCAGGAAGAGAACACAAGCTGTGTTCTCTTCCTTCTGGAGAACTCCCAGTTGCCTTCAGTTATGCGAACGAGTTGAAGATGGTCTTAATAATCTGAGGTCTGCGCCCGAAAGTCACATCACCAAGGAAGGTCTTGCAACTATTGCCAGTGTTGCAGATACGACATTCACGACCAACTTGTTTTGATCTTAGAACTCGTTCATTAGTTTTTACAAAACATCGGGTTTAGGTTGATCTGTCCAAGGTGGTTATGAGATCTGATCCCAAACAAGAAACTGAGCATGCCCTGAAGAATGTTGACGAAGACAGGAAGAGTGTGCAACGCGCAGTGTGCTACAACTTCGCGATAGGAGTGCTAGTGACTCTTCTAATTCTTTCTGTTCCTGGAGCGGAGGCGGGTTACATACCCAGCGAGGACGATCGTCCTATAAATATGGTAAGAATACTACAAATACAAATATAAACTACTACAAATACGAATATATACAAAATACCATTTTCAGAGGGTGCAGTGCGCGTCTTCCGGATCACAGCAAACCAACATAGATCCGATAGGATACGTCATTAGTGCAATTTCTCCCGCATTCTATTTGATACTGTTTTTGGTTGGTCGCAAATACAAATTTTCCAAACAATTTATTTTTCATTTACATTCCAGGTGCTTAACAAAATGGGATTTGCGCTTCCAGCAGCAGCACCAGCACCCACACGCCCAGCGGAGTCCGCGCATGAGTCGGCTCAGCCCCTTATCACTCCCCTAACCAGCCATCCCGCCAGCGGTGTTGGCTGGCGCCGCGAGCGTTGGGATTCCGATCCCAGCGCCCCAGAGATTCTCTATGTTGACCTCAGGGAGGTGTGCATCTGCAGTCAACATAGGGAATCCCTGGGCATTTTTTACCCCCGATTTTACAACAAGCAGCCGCCCTACTCGTGAATCTCCACTAATCTCTAATACGAATCTCTACTTTTCTTGCTGATCTCCTTGAATCGTCTAACATTGATCTTCTTTTCTATCTGTTCAAAGAAGCTCAAAAATAACCTCTCCTTTTCTGATCTCATAATTTTTCCTTTGCAGCCACTATTAGTTCGTATAGAAACATCTGAAGTTCAATTTTGTTGGCTTTTTTGAAAGTTGTTTTTTTGGAGAAATTGAAGTGCCCCGAATAAAGTTTTTCTGTGTATACTTTTCTTTGCTTTTCACCACACAGTCGGAGGGTGGGGGGGGGGGGGGGGTAGGGCAAGGGTCAAAGGGGACTTCGCACAATTCTCGAAAGTCAGGGGGGACTTCGTTTTTCAAAAGGCTAGAAACGGACTCGTGCCGGGCCCTGAACACAGCTTGCTCACAATAACTCAAGGCATAGTAATCGCAAGTTTCAGAAATTTTTGAAAAAAAAAATGATCTGAAGATGAGAGGGAGATTTCACTGTCGCAACATTCGACGCTCAACGCTACATGAACACGTACATGTAAAAATACTTCGCACCGAGCGGTTGGGACCTACATAGAGCACGTCGTGCCGAAGAACATGCAGAGGTGTATTCAAAACATAAAATTACATCAAAACATCAACACATGTTCAGACGCCCATGGAAACATCATTCAACGCTGGAGCTGTTGATGAACCTATGCCTTTAAAGGCAGTGGATCTGCAAAACTCAACATGTCAGGATTTCAACGCGGTAGGTTCCTTCTGGCCCAAGTGTGAAAACAGTGCAATCCCGGTTGCACAGTATGCCTTCCCTGCGGAGAATATTGTTCTCAAACTTACACGCGCAGGTTAATCTTACACGCGTCCGAACAAGCTGGCAATTTCCTTCTCACCATTGGAGGTTGCCCTTCGCAATGCTGTAACCATTTGGTCCCGCAACGATGCAGCGTCATCAGCCTTGCTCCACTCGTCCAATTTCAAAGGGAAGGCCATTGAAAACGCTCGTTTTCGGCGTTTTCAAGCTCTCAAATGTGGATTTTCATGATCAGCGTATTGAATAACCCCAAGTGAGCGAGAATTTGGCTAGGTTGAGATTTGCCGAGCCACTGCCTTTGACCTCCGCTGCGACTGCCGCGGTTGAGACGGAGTGTCCCGCTAAGACAGACATAAGCAGACCATCTATATCCTCTATCAAGACCACAAAAAGCAAACACACCAGATGTCTGAAGGAATCTCTAGAAAAAGCTCTTCGCATTTAGAGTAACGTTAGCTTCTGCTTAGAAGATGAGCTAGCTTAGTGAAGAAGAGCTCAAGCTCAAAAAGACAGACCTAGATCTGTTGAACAAATTTTTTGAGTTCAAGGAAAAAAGTTGCTTGAGCTCTTCTTCCTTACGCCTTGCGACTGCCACAGTGAAGAAAACGGAGTTCGTCTGGATACCTGCGCTTCTGCTCCCATTACTCAATACATCACGAAAGGCAGCGCGTCAGCGACCAGGCGCTGGAAGGGACAAGAACTGATAAGATTTGGTTCCAAAAACAAACTCCAATGGGAATGCACTAGCTTGCATAGCATTTATGACCACTGGGGTTCGCATGAACCAAAGGCTTCCAATCCAAATCGAGATCAATCCAAAACCTATGTTACATAAATTGCAACAATGGGCTTCTGAAATGGGTCTAGAGCTTCCATCCATCTCAATTTACAAAAGAATCTTTAAGAAGTCAGGCCCTCCATAGGGTTGTTTCATACTGTCGCAGTGACTGCAGCAGACTGCAGCAGACTGCAGCAGGCTGCAGCTGACCGCACTGACCGCAACGACCACAGCGGCTGTAGCATGCAGGCGGAGAGGATAAATAGTTGTGGTTTAAACAAACAACAACAATATATGCGTAAAAGCAAAAGACAACATGGTTTAGAATGTTACAAAACAGGTATATGCAATGATAGGAGGAATTAGAACAATGACGAACATACCAAAGAAAACTATCGCCAACATTTGATTGAGAAGAATTCTGATGGAACTTATGATCTTCTTATGCGTAAATCACGCTGTTTTGGTAATCGCGGTCGTTTTCTTTTGAGAAAAGAGGCTGCGACCGGTGCGGTCAGTGCGGTTATTGACATAACCAATACTTTTGGAATATCTCAGAATCCTAAAAAGACGGGGAACGCGGCTGGGATATCGCCGTACGATTCGAGGGGACACAGCGCAGAACTCCGCAAAGTTCTCGCTGTTGACCTGAGAACAAAACGCATACATTCGGAAGTCGTAAACTGTTCCGAAACAGGTAGATACATAAATGAAGCAACACCAAATTCTAGCGAAAAGTTCTTTCAGGCAGGATCAGCAGAAAAATGGAGAAGAAAGGCTTCCACAGGATGCTACGGTGGTTGCAATCGAGGGATTTCCCTATCCGCTCGATTGCAACTGACCGCAGCCCGATGTACGGGACCGAAATCAACTCGTACAATGTGGAAATCGGTGAGCAGATTGAGTGGAGGCTTGACCCATGGCATCTTGCGACATGTGGACCTACATCTTCGGGCGGTAAGAAATCAAAATTCTGCGGCGTGTTCGAACTGCAAAAAGTGAAATTAAGGTCTCAAAACGAAAGGGATACGAGGTGCTAGCAAAGAGGACAAAATCCATTAAAAACATCTTTACTTCGCCACCAAGCAATGAGCGCTGGCACACGATGGCAGACATGCGACCCATGACTTCAATTTATGCCTGAACCACATGGCCGATATCCACAATTGGAATAAGGTAAAACCTTACTACACCTGAATGAGTGTCAAGCATATTTTATAGACCGATATTACTGGTGGACTCACAGCGTGTGCCCACGACGCTCTGGTGGACGACGAAGAAGATGAAGAGGTAAAAAAAAACCCAAAATTCCTATTGGAAGCTCTGCCCACGATAAACTGCGCGAAATCCTGTTACAGAGGGTTTTCCAGAGGGATCTCGCACTGGCTAGTTAGCAAAGCGGTGCGAGACCAAAAATTTCTTGGACTAGCCGTTGTCGACGCAGCGTACGTAGCTGCAAAAATACATGCAATTCATACTGGCAAAGAGTGCTCCACAAAAAGTACGTTCTTACAAATACACATTTAAAACAGGAGAAAAAACATGAGGCACTCATATTTATAAAATTCATCAGGCTGAAACTAGAACAATACTAAACATTTGAAAAGAAGATTCACAAAACATGACAGATTGAACGTATACCAATACAGTGGACAAGGAAAGGGAAAGTTATTATGGAGCGAGGAGAGAACACCGGCAGATATAAAGGGTCAGAAACATCAAATCTGATTTTCCCGGTCCACTGCCTTCAGGATGACAGCAGATGTTGAGAAACTGCCTACTATCATTGCACTGTGCGCTGCTGGGTCTCTTGATACAATATGTTTCTTTATTTTCTAATTATCATACCTTGTCGATCAGAGTGGTTGGAAAAATGCTTGCATATTTTCCATACCCTACTCGTCAAAGTTATTTTCAATCTTATCGAACACCTCACTGGATGCACTGAAGTCCGTGTACTACCTCAATTACCGTATCTTCAGTGAAGTCATGTGTTTAAAATCGTTCTGTATCTTCTCTCCTGTGGAAGAAAATCACATTTCGTTACATCAAAATATGTAATAAAATCTTGCTCCTACTCCGAGAGACTATTTTGAATTTGGAAATGTTGTACTCTATGCTCCTCGTTTATTCTTAGGTGTCGCCAGAAACGTGCCTAAGTGATGCATTTTCTCATAATTGTTGGCATTCTGCTCTTGACAGATTCTTTTCACAGATCTAAATTACACAAACTACTGTATACACTACTCTTATGCCGAAAATCAATAAATCGATAGAATGGCCCAGCGAATCGCCTCAGATACCGCTAAACCACCTTCGGGGTCGAATACATATGTGTGCAAAGTTCCAGCTCAATCGGTTCTTTGGCGGGCGTTTCTACAACAAACGAACCACTAAACGAACACACAAAGTTTGAGTTTTATATATATACAGAAAACAAACCGAAGGTTTAGATAAGCAACCAGTTGTTATAAAAAATGAAAACTAAAACTTCGTTTATTGCTTTTCATGCTCAAAGATAGGAAGAACACCAAACATTGCAACGGGACCTTATTACTGACATTCTGAGTAAAGCAAGCTTTATAGAGATGAACGCAGATTCTGATTTACATAAATTGGAAGCCAAAACTCAATCAACGTCTACCAACTGCAGTGCAAATTCTTCTAACGATGAAAATGGTATGAATTGATAGATTCAGCCCGCTTTGTTGAAAAAGAATTTCAAATGCAATGAACTCTAGCGTCTGATAGCATAAGCCAGATAAATATCATGAGGATCGAAAGATCATACACAAGCTAAGTGTCAAAATCAAATGTTCATCATTGAATCTGAGGTTAAATTGACTTTGAAGTAATTTCGACTGCTTAATACACTGCTACTTCAAGCGATTGGTACATCAATTACTCAATTATCAAAAGTTTTTCATAGAGCAAGCATGACGTCCTAGCACAAAGTGAAGTTTCTTGTTGCTGGTGGATATTTACAATAATGAGTTAATTATTCTGTAGATGCGCAGTGTAACTTGTTGACAAAAACTAGTTTAGCGGCACAAGGCAAGGGTTCCGGCAACAGTATGGTTCAATCAAAAACAGGCTTCTATGGAAAGCTTATTCCTGTATAAATTAGTCTTAAAAGCCATTGTTTCAAAAACATATGTGTGCAAAGTTTCAGCTCAAGCGGTTCAGTAGCGGAAGGAACATACGAATTAACGAGCATACCTACAAATTTTGGATTTTGTAAATATACCCGTGTGTCACCTCTGTTTGGCAGGCTGGCACTGATACCACTATGTTTTTCTTCTGATTTCTCATTTCGAAAGCTTTTTCACGTAGGATCGCTAACTTTTGGAAAAAGAAACAATCCTTCAAAAATTCAAGACGCATTTGAATCACTTACCGGAGTTATTATGTTTTGATACTCGCCATAAGGACAACGACAAACGGGGTTACACCTTTGTGCAAAAATCCTTTCAAAGTCTCTAAGACCTTGACAAATCGACTATTTGCGCAAATACTCCTTTTTAGTACGTCGCACAAAAGTAGACTTTGTCACCTTCTATTTTGAGGTTCATGGTTTGCTGATCTACCTGCTGAACAAATCCGTAACTTTGCAAAAAGTCTAATTACCGACCCTCTTGGTTGACCAGAAGTCGTGTGGATCCATTTGACACACAGTCTCCTAAAGTACCACTTATCAAATTGGCTTGTATTTTGCATAGTTTAAGCACATGCTGATCGAGCGCTCTAAATGCCAGCTAAACTAGACAGACATGCAAAAAAAACGAAATTAGCGCTTTGTTATAGTAAGATAGATCAAAATCAAAGTTGGTTAGGATAATTCCTGTTCGTGTAAGAAGGTAAAGGCGGTTTTCAAGTTTTCAGCAGAACCTAAAAGCTACAGTGATCTAAGCTATACCATATTTTCTTGTGGAAAACTAGTTTCTGAAATAGTCATGAATCTTCGAAAACATCCTTTCAATCTTGCCTATTGCTAGAGAAGTTGCCTTGAAAATATACCCCTGAGGTAAGATTCTTGATAACTATAATTATGAGTGATATAGCTATCTTGTGGTAAAATATACCGCTATATTTCAGGAACTGGTTTCCCTTCATTTTACACCCCATCTTTCGCAAGATATATAACGCAAAAGAATAGGGGCATCTGGTAAAAATGAGTAGTAAGACCTACTTAAAGGTAAGCTTTGCCTCAAGGGTTTGAATACGGCTTCCCAAGGCAACCGAAAATGTCTGGTGAAACCTCTGCACATACAACATTCCGTGCCTTGAAAAAAAAGGTTCTTTATTTCGTCATATCACACCAACAAAACTGGGAGCTGATAGCAAATCATATCAGTATGCTGTCCAGCAGCATCCGCGCCGAGTTCGTAGGAACCGTACCAATTTGATTCCTGCACAAGTATACGTCATAATAAACCCTCATCAGACTACGGTCGTTGTAGCCTATGACGCAGCGGGGGTAAAAATGCAGCGAAGGCCGCTGCTGCAGCTGCAGTGAAGGGAAACGCATCTTCGTTTTAAAACTCATCTGCGTCGTGAAATTATTGTAGTCGTTGCCGCGGATTTGACCAATTTGAACATATTGTAGACAGCACGCTAAAACCGGGTCCATTCTCCGTCAAGCTTTTAATAGCTAAAGGCGAAAGTCTGTACAAGGGTCCTTATCTAAGAAATATGGATGCCTAATTTGGTACCAGCTATGCTTACAGATTCCGCATCAACATTGTCTTCACTTTACAGGGATAACAATACTCAATCCTAAAAACTAGCTATGGGTTACAAGAAGTGCACTGATTGTTAAAACACATTTAAACGGTCCCGTATGTAACTATTTTCCGTCAACCAACCTGCATGTCGTAATATTTGTTAACTGTGAGAAGTTCTTAGAAGAAAATTAACCATTCAATGAGCGCTGGTTGACGAAAAGTGGATCCAGCTTATGAGTATATTTACCAAGAAGCGCTCACAATGCAGTGTTATACAATGATACACTATTTATTTTGCCTTTTTTCTAACATCCCAATTCAAAAATCAAGTAGCAACCAGTACTGCCTTAAAGGCAGTGGCTCCGCAAATCCTCGACCTTTGGTGTTTTCGCTTACCTGGGGTAATTCGAGGCGCTGATTCCAGAAAACCATTTTTTTAGAGCGCGAAAGTGGCGAAAACCAGCATTTTCCAAGCCCCTCATTTTGAATTTGGACGAGTGGAACGCTCCCAGCCATGGTTAAAGATGCAGAGTCGCTGTGGAACCCTCATGTTCATAGCACTGCGGCACGCCGCCTCTGGCGGCGTAAGGATTACTGCAAGCTCGTCCAAATGCGTGTAAGAATGGCTTGCGCGCATGGGTTCAGGGGCAATTTTCTAGGCAGGGGTTGCATCCTGCTCCACTCTCGTTTTGGAATGCAACAAACCTTCCATATAAAAATTTCGAGATGTTCGATTTTATAAGCCACTGCTTTAAGTCTGTTTTAACTATAACAATTCTTTAACTCCAACTCAAGATGCTTTGCAAGGCGGGTCAGGGGTCACACTTCACGCGGCGGCCTCTCGTCGCGCCCAAATTTTGTGCTTCACAAAAACTCTTCGGTGCTAAAGTGGCACGGCGCCAAAGTAGGGAGGTGGGGGGGGGCAGATACATGACTCGATGCCATAAGTAATATTGCGGCAGGCTAGTGAGGAGAGCTAAGGCCTATGCTGCTTGACGTCGCGTTGCGGCGTCTCTTCGCGAAAAATCGTGACTCCTGACCCGTACCCGCTTTGCAACAGGTGCCGAAATCCAAGGGAGTCATCGCAGGCGGCCAGAATCTCTCAATCCTTCAAATTACTGTTGACATCCTCCTCTTTTTGAATGGTATCAGCAAAGTTAAGCTGGTTTAATGAGGGAAGCTAAAAAAGAAAATCATTGGAAAACTGATTGGAGGCAAGCTCTAATACAAAACAAGTGTCTTTTGTGCAAGAGAACTTAACTGAAAGAATAAAGAAAGTTTTTGTACACAAGCCTAGGCTGGCTGGCGCCAAACAGGTGATCTCGTTTTCGAAAGATGAATAAGATTTTTAGTCGACCGTTGAGATGATCCCTTCATAGAATCACTGTTGTCTTTGTAGCTAAATAAAAATATTTCAACAATAAGCCATTTAGTGAACGTGGAGGATATGTTGGAGAAACAACTCAGAAGGTACATAGCGGTCTAAACCGCTTTTGAGCTCGTGAAGGAAACCATCGATTAACAGATAGGGGCAAATTCACCTAAGCGTAAATTTTTGAGATGACACACAAACTTTCTTTGTCTGCTATCCATCACTTTGAATGAGGGAAATCAACCTGTTTTGCGGCGCTAGAAAACGTGAGGAAAAAGAAGCATATGAGGCGGTCACAACGTAAGAAAGTTTTGGCAAAATTCTCTAAGGATATAAATTATCGTGGATATCGCAAGCTTAGCCACCTAACAAGAAGAGTGATGATTGGATGCTGCAGCCTGTTTTGCGCGTCTGCGGACTCCATTAAATTACCAAGTAAAGTACCAAATTTGTAATGATTACAAAAGTGAAAACCTTGTGCTTTGTTATGTGCGTTGCGCAAATGCTCACATCGTTGCACTTTGTTCTAATTACCTTGTCACCGTTGATGCGATATGTACTAATTATGCGAATAATAAAAACATGACACCGTTTTATTAGTTCTCATGCATACATTGGCCATGTTTCATTGGAAAGAGTTTCGTTTGTCTTATTTTAAGTTAAGCAGACTTAATGATTTGTTTGCTTTGACAGAATCTCATAAATCCTTGTCAAAAGCTTGTCGGACACACGTGTTTGTTTTTTACGACCAACTTTCAGTCCATTAGTCAGATAACAGACAACAATGTCTTTGAATGGATCCATCCAGATCATTTGACCACCCATCGCTGGATGTCCAATCAGCCACGAACCCTGTATAGCATTGAGATTATAATGGAGCGGACAAAAAGTCACTCTTGCCTACATTTGGACTTCTTTTATATACAAAGCCGTGCCCTTTGCTTTCTTCAATGCCAAGAGTGTGGTCGAAGGTTTCCTCATATTGTGGTTGAGCTAAGTTCTACAAGCGCATACATTCACATTACCATATTACCGGCTGTCATGCTACTTACCTTAAAAAACTGCTGTGAGCACAAAGTTCCATCCATGAATTTTTGATGGAGAAGAGCAAGACCGCGTGCCGTTGCAACTCCATTCAACGCAGGTTGTTCAAAAGAACGCATTGCTGGTGTGTTAAACAACTCAATATTCTAAAAAACGCCAATTAAGACAATTGCTAATATTTTGAAGCTCTAGTTTTTTTTTGAAAATGGGGAAACGGTCTGTTGCATCGATAAAGTAAACGCAGTTCAATTTTTTTTCCAAGCCTCCGTTGTTTTTAAATAAAAGAAATAACGCTTTTCCGTTTCACCAATGCATACCTCAGAGAGTGGCTGTAACCTCATTCGCTGTAATGCTGCTGCGTCCTTGCCGTGTAGAAGATTACCCATTGAAAATATTTTCCTGTCGTCAACATATTCCCTAAAATTGATTACGTATCATAAACTCTTTATGGGTTATCGCTGAAACACACCGAAATGCAGAAGTTTTTCTAAGTGGTGAAACTTTAGCAATCCGACCTTCTTGATCAGTGCATGATCCAATATAGATATCTATACCTGAAGAAGACCCATTTTATTACTGTAACACCTTTCATAGGGTTCCTTGCCGTGCATTTTGCTTGACCACTTGCAAGAAATGCTGACGCCTGCTTATGCGCGGCGAATTAATTCAACAAGAGATGGAAGATATTCATAATTGTAAAAGCGAGCTAATTGCTTTTTGCGCCAAAAGTTGATTATTCGATAACAGCGAACAGCATAATTGGCGGTTTGGAAACCAATCTAAAAGAAAAAAATCTTTGCTGAAAATTGGCAGATGAAGGAGGATGTTTGTCGTTACGCACGCCTCGCAATTGTGTTTGTCATGATTTGTGGCTGCCACACTAATAGGAGAAGAGTCGATTGATGTGCCATGTTTCCAGCGTGGCCGCTCACTTGAGTAAAGAAATCACACTGTTTGAGTGGTTTTCGATCTTATAAAATCTCGTATATAACATCGGCTCCTGCGGTGTAGTCGGTAGGAAAGTTTCAGAACGGACAAAGTTGAAACATGCAATGCGCAAAGAAGAAGAACGAAAGTGCTCTACAAACTTCAAACGCACCATACTTCTGTCGAATTTCATCACGAAAGTATTCTCCTATACTTCGATGCTTTGCATCTATTCGACAGAATACCTAGAGTTATATCCAAAAATTCTCAGCAAGAATTTTTGCCATTACTGTACTACTACTACTACCTGGTCTATTAACCATCCGAATGTTATTGGATGATAAGCAATCTGTGAATCTGGAGGATGTTTTGGAGACTCTTCTTCCAAGACCTTGGAAATTTTCGTTTTGTCTGCAGCCTCGTCAAGGGTGAGATCTTCTTCAAGATAGGGTATACCAGCCTGTGAAGCAAGAATTGAAAGTCTTTTTTACGATAACTTAAGTCGAGCTACTCGATGGTTGAGGATCATGTCAATGGTTATATTTTCCTTGCCGTTTTTTCCAAATTCAGGCCAGAAACGTGTAACTTTATCAGAATAAAAACATTCTCCTGCATGTACTTTCATAGCAACACAAATAGCAGCCACACTCTGCAATAAAACCTTTTTAAGGCGTGTTTTCCGCTATATTGTGGTTCGTAGCTGCGAAACATGCAAAGGGGTAGCCCACAAGCTAGTCGCCTGCCTTGCGACTTCTATCACAGTGAAAAAGTCTCCGTTGAAGACTTTTTTGTTTTCGTTGCTCTCCTAATGCCACGTGGGAAGCACCATATCCAATTGACCACATCATCTCGAAAGGTCTGACTAATGTCGCTGTTATTCCAATGTTTTACACGGGATCAGGCCACCGCCGCTCTATGCCAAGTTCTAATTCTTACGAATGGGAAATCTTCGAGCTCAGGAAGCACCATCCTACGACAACTACCAACTCAATTCTGCTGACTTCGATACCCGTCTTCTGGCAAGACACCGTGATCGACAACAACGCCGAAGGATAGAAAAGGCTCGTCCATGATCTCCACGATTGCGCTAGGGATGCCGAGAGTTAGTCCACGACTCCTACCGAATTTCTTTGACAGCCGCTCTACCTGCTCTCAAGTCACAGAGAGGACGACTATCGCAGCTGTTCTCCTTTCGAAATTCGACCAGCTATCATGTCTATGTAGCATCGCACAGCGTCCGACCCAGACAGCATTACGCCAGAACATCTGAGGACTTTCCTTAGTCCTCATTAAGACTTGGCAAGGCTCTTCACGCAATACTGAAATCATATTCAGGTAATGTTCCAAGCAAAAAACCGACAAGACTGTGCTGCTGTGCCAGAATGGAGATACCTGCACCATTGTCAACTATCGTTTCGTTTTGTCTGTAGTCTACAAATTCTTTACATAAGTCAATTTCGATAGACTCCGAAGAAAATTAGATGGAGGACAACCATGCGAGCAAGCTCGCTTTCGAGAAAAGATGCATTACGATAATTACATACATGCGGTGTCAAAGCTCGTCGAAATGTCATGAGAGCACGGATGCTGCTCTGTCTCGTTTTCAGCGCCTTGTAGAGAGCCTTCAACTCATGTAAGCGAAGTTGTCAACGGCGCTTTGAGTAATCGGTACTCCTACTCACACACCAAGATACTCGTTTCAGAACTCCACGAACAGCAGCGCATTATTTTACATGATTATCATCACTGACGTGAAGAAGGATGTACGATAAGACGATACTATATCGCCAAAGCTATTCAGCGCTTCCCTCGGGTACGTCATACGTACGCGGAAATACGACGAAATAGAAGTGAAAATACAGGCGGGCAACTATATTCCCTTCGCTTTGCTGAACAAATCAGTAATAACACCATGCTCCACGCAGGCAGACGAGCTGCCTAATTCAACGAATTGTGTAAAAAGATCGGTTTACTGCTGAACTTAGCGATGTTTATGAGAAAGAAAGAGTGCCCGAGTCTTTTTACATGGACGAACAATACCGATGCTCAAGTTACACTTACCTTGTTGAGAGATCAATATTATGAACTCATCTAGGTTGAACTCATCTAGGATCTAGCTTCGGAAATGGGCGGAAGAAACGCTTGGCTCACCTGTTCAGTGCGACGTTTCTCCCTGCTCCGACATACGCTTCACAAAAATTCATTATGGAGAAGCAGAATGACGCATTTAGAGTTATTTAAAGTGCTGTTGAAACTTAAGCAAGTTCGGGAATGAATAAGTGTTTTACACTACGTCAACGGTCGATGATCAGGGAGACGCTGCATCCAAGAACGGAACGAGATAAGAGAGCCGGCCAGATAATGACTTTACGACGGACGAGAGCTTCGACTGACTGGATACATTAAACGTCAACGAACGAGGCGGACTGCCGACGCGACTGCCGATACTCAATATGTTTACGAAGTCCTCTAACACGTTTCGGACTGCGAAATCGCGCGCGGCGAAAAAGAGGGTACTTTCAGCCGTTAGCCAACAAAGGGGCCTTAATTCCTAGACCGTATGCTACCGTATCTACAATCAGCAAATCAGATAAGATCCATACCCAAAGTTGTGAGCGAATTCGAAGTGTTTGACTTTTGTCGCTTGAGAAGGACTTCAGTGCTTTCTTGAAAGCTAGGAACAAGAACTCAGCTTTTAATTGTACCCAAACGTATATGTTGTACACCATACACATCATTATCGAAACTGAGGTTTTTCTCTTTGAATTCGAAGCAAAGGAAAGTTACGACGTCGCACGCGTCGTTCGCGTTGCCGCACTTCTTTGCAACTGTTGTTCAATTTGTGCTCATATCTTCTAAACCGGCTAATACCGACTGCACAGCCCTACAGAGTTATTGAGAAAAAGGAGCTTAGGCCTTTGACTTCATAACCTTGGACAAAAAGAAAACCTCCGGGGACGAGGGGACGAATGGAGACATCACTGCACTGCTCGTGCAACACGACGATGTACGGGATACAGGTGATATAGAGATGACAAAAAGTGGCAGCCGACGGTTACACTGTTCCAAAAAAGACACACAAAACGAGCAATCAGCTGGTCCCAATGCTCTGTATATTTGCGTGGATCCGCAGGTATCCGCTCTTTTGGTAGTCAAAAGCACAGTGCGATAAACATCTCCGCTCCCTTTTCAGCAAATCCTATCCATACCTTAGTGCAGCAAAAGATGTTAGCCATTGTGTTTTGTGTCCACTCCCGTTCATTAATGCGATCAGCCCAGCCACCCCAAAGATCCACTACCAGCTTTCCTTTGTAGTATATTGCTAACGCAGCACCGTCTCGTTCATGTTTGTACATGAAATTCTTCCTGCAAAGGCAACCACATCAACAGCACTGATGGGCGTTAGTGGTCCTTCTAACCTGAACAAATCTGCGACTTCCTCAAATCCATCCGTAGCAACACCTTCAACATGGTCATTGATCTGTAACAAAGGGAACTGCAACCATTGAGGCTTACTCAAAGCCCCCAAAATTTACTCTAGTAGCCTTTAATTAGTGAAGTTTAGAAGATCTGTGCGCAAGAAGGAGCAATACTAGCGGCCAAACTGTGCTTCATCGCAAATCTCACAGCAAACTCCATTTCAGCCTTCTTGGAAGTCTTCAATGTGCCCAGTATACGTATATGAAGCTGAGCGTTGGCAATTTGTTAGTTAATGTGTTCTTTATAGAAACTTTTGTGTGTAAGCCAATAAGCGCGCGAAATTTTCGCACGTATATCTATTTATATATAAAACTCAAAAATTGTCAGTTTGGAGGGTATGTGCGTTATAAAAACGCGAGCCGCTCGACCGATTCAGCTGAAATGTTTACACATATTTTTACGACTCCTACTTAGATGATAGGCTACTTCTTGCGGCGATTTACTGAGTCCTTTTATCGATTTATTGATTTGTTTACGTTCTTCTAAGAAATTATAGGTTTATCATGTTCAATCAAGCAGTCTATCATAATCATGTGAAGGAGGGCGGTGAAGCTTATTTTCACCTCAGGATCACGAGGATGTGGTTTCAAAGCGGATGTCCCAGGGTAAGTCATCCATAACATTTAGCGAGGGGGGGGGGGGAAGGCGCTTGCAGTGCAAGTGAACGGAACAAGGCCCGGGCTGGACCGGGAAAGCCAAATAGTATATACATATATTTTCAACCCCGGCCACCCTGTAGGGTACTTTTCGCGGCGAAACCCCGCTCCTTCTAATAATCTATCGATTTTCAAGAAAAACTAACTTTTATCAAGTGCTATCCAGCCACATTCGACTTTCGCGTAAACAATAGCGGTAGAACTCATTTCTATTAGAGGACTAGTTGGCTTTCCCGGTCCAGCCCGGGTCATGGTTCACCGCACTGCGACCCCCCCCCCCCCGTCCTATATGGTAGGATGACCTACCCTGGGACATCCGCTTAGAAACCGCATCCTCGTGATCCTGAGGTGAGAATGAGCTCAACCGCCCTCCTTTACATGAGTATGGAAAATGCTTGATTGAACATGATAACCCTTCAATTCCTTAGGAAAATGTAAACAAATCAATAAATCGATAGAAGGAACCAACGAATCGCCGCAAAAAGTAGCCTATCATCTGCGCAAGGGTCGAAAACATATGTGTGCAAAGTTTCAGCTGAATCGGTTGAGTAGCGCGCGTTTCTTTAACGCACATACCCTCCAAACTGACAATTTTTGAGTTATATATATATATATATATATATATATATATATATATATATATATATATATATATATATATATATATATATAGATGAGTGAGATGCGGTAATTCAAGGCGATGCGATTAGGATGTTTACCCTGTGTTGCACGAAAAGTAGAAGAAGGCCAAAATGCAGCGAGATGCGTTTTAAAAGTTCTGCGCCACTCTTTCTCTTTGTTGAGCCAATTACATCCTCGATGCGGGCGAAGCCGGGCATGCCAGCTAGTACCTGTACGTATTTTCCGGAGAATCCACCATGCGCAAATCTGAGTTAGATAGCTTATGAAGTAAATTTTGCACATAAAATTCGTTTTTACATCTGCAGTAAACGTTGCAAATAGCCATGGACGCGCCATCTCTTGTTCTACTTTCGCGAATTTCTGATTAACTATTCAAGAACATAATATTCAGTGTTTTACACTTCGAAAGTTTGAGTGAACACCAGCATAATTCGGAGTTCAAGCACAAGACAAAAAAGATTAAAACATGTTTGTGGTGCTATATCCATAGTCCCATGGTATGCTATTGAAGAGTGTCGTGGCTCAGTTTGAAAGATACCGCGAGAATCGAAATGCAGTGATATAACTTGATAAAAAGCTCACTTGAAGCGAACGGACAAGCTATCGTCGATTCGTTGACCGCAAGGACTGCTCAAACGCTGCGGACCACGGGCGACACCGCTGAATTGTCGCGAGAGCACGACTTTTACATCGGCGGATTTGAACTGGGGCAAGCGTCAACTCTACTTGCGGTCAACTCTCCGTGCGGTCAACTCTACTTGCTTTTGCTAAGTGGCAGAAGTTCTGTAAAGACAAGCACACGCAGAATGCATTACCCGATTACTACCAGTTTGGCTATTTTGTACTAATAATGTAGACAGAAAGTTTCATTTACTCAAACACGCTTTGTCTAAAAATTTCTAGGCCCATGGACTGGAAGCTGTTTCTATTAGCTTCGTAATTGGGCTGTAGCAGCAATATGTCAGACCATCTCGAGCATTTTGAGAGCTTAAGCGTTTTTCCTTGCTGCAGATTGAGCATTTCGACATTTCAAGACAGAGTCGTTTTTCTTAGCGTATGACAGACCTTTCTTTCCGTCCCCGATTTGCGAGCCTGCAAAATTTCACTGAACCTTGCGTAGTACAACTTTGCGCAAAACTTGCAGTCTTCAGGTTTTCCGGTACCGGCGTCTCAGTCGAGCCCGAATCTTCCGATGAAGCTGCCATACTCGTCGTTATAGTACACTTTACAGCTGCAGACCAAGTTATGAATGACTCGTTCTCCCTTTATGTTCATCTTTATGTAATCTGTTCATATACGAGGTGGTGATTGGCATCGAAGGAAATCAAACGCTACTCATTTGTACGTGTTCCGGTTGAAGTGCGGTTCATGGATACTAGCACTTAAAAAAGTTGAGATTGGAAGAAATACGAGAAAGTGTTGGTGCTCAGTGAAGAAGCTTCAAAGACGGTACATGGTCAAAAAAAGCGTCACTTCTTTTGAAAAACTCAAAATGTTTTAAATTCAACGCGCACTAAGTGTATGTTTCTTTGGTTCATAAGCTCTGAGCAGCCTGTGATATTGAGACAATAATCTTTTTTGATAAATGATTTTGACGCCAAAACCGTGCGTGCTCCTTGCGCTTTTCATCAAAATTTCAGCCTTGCTTGAGCCAGCACACTTCTAAGTCTCAAATTATTTATGCCTACTTAATAAAATCATGACCTGCACTTCTTAAAGTCACTCCATAATTATCCTGTTTTTCTCACTCGTTTGAGTAATGTAGCTTGAAGTACATATTCTCGCATCGAAAAAAATTCATACGGAACTTGGAAACAGTCGAGAAACTTCACTAGCAGATTTGATCACCCATGCAATCTCGAGAACTAAAGCTTGTAGAGACCTGGAAATTTATGTTTGTACTTGTACAGGCTTGTAGAATACAATTACTTATGTGGGATCGGCACAGCACCACTTTGGCAAATGCACGAAAATCTCCGTTTTCTTGATTTTCAACAGAGAAAAAATACGGCAACGGCGTGTATAGATGCTCTATATGGATTATGCTTACGTGAGCAAGTTAGATTTTTTTTATAGGATTTTTATGAACTGAGTTACGATTTTTCTCAATTTTTCGGACACTTGAATGATTTAGTTTTTGGCGCGAAACTCGTTGTGGATCGGAGTTATTGCTAAAGCAAGATAGCCATCTGGTAGAGCTTGCTTTGCTCTATCGAACGGTACCTTGCAATCTACTTAGGAATGAGAAGTGTATGACTTATTGCGGTTGGAATTCAAAACCTGCATTAATTTCCGGACAACCTAATATTTCTTATAGCGCAAATTTTACCCCATTTCACCTTCTGCAAGCACACTATATTGAGCGGAAAATCTTCTCGACTCTACGTAAGACATACGCAAAAACAGACATTCAGTTTTATTTACACAAATAATCATTACCACATGTCATTCATGCTCGCTACTTGCATCCAGATAATATCCACCACTCGAGTTTGATGCCTAGCAGGCCTATTCTTGCAGCTTCGATCCTCATCTCGAGATCAAGCCATCCTCGGATTGCGAGTACAAGTGCGACTAATATGGCTGATGCGGCTACGGGCTACGGCGGCATCCAACCAGTATCCAACTGTCCTCCTAGAATTTTCCTCAAATTAATGCAAAAAAAAACGAAGTCCCCTTAACCTTTCCAAAATTTTACGAAGTTTCTTTTGGCCCTAAATAATAACCGAATGAAATGTCGACTAAAAAAGTAACCTAAGTTGTATTTCTTCTGCCTCAAAAACATATTCCCTTCGCTTTTTGTCCCAAAACCGATACTCAGCTTGCTTGTAAGCCACCTGTACTGAGCCCGAGTGCGTGACAATCAGCCCACGTGTATTCTCGTTCCATACACGAGTTTATTTATTTATTTATTTAACTATAAAGTCGACATCCAAAGGACTCTAGACGAGGAGGATCAACAATTTCAGCGGTCGACCAAAATCTTATACGTCTTTCGAAAACGATACCCCCTTTTGGGGACCAGCGAGCCCGCCTGCAAAGGCTAGCTGGCCACAACCCCTAGAGAAAAATAAAGGTTTTAGAGGTTTTCGAAAGGACAATAAGACATAAAAAGAAGGGAAAAATACAATAAAACCCTCGGAAGAGAGGAATGATCATCAAGAAAAAAGATAGAAATGACCACAGGAAGAATACTGTAACCAAAAAAAAAGATAATTCGAGAGAGTTGCAATACAAAGTGGTAGAGAATCACCTGGAGGTAGATACGTTTTTTTCTTAATTCGGGGAACAAAAATAAAAACATCGAACGTAACGAAGAATTTCGCCTTCTGGGAGACCAAACCATACATCAGTTAGAATTCGTTGCGGAGAAAAGGAACGTCGAAATCTCAAAAAATTTCCTGGAAAATGGTAGTCAGAATAACCCCTGTAATTTCAGAAATTTTTGAACTTCTCTATTGAAAAAGATCTCGCGGTAATAGTAGCTTCCATTGGGAGCATATTCATTTTGATAACACGCACTAGGAAAGAGTTATAGTATTGCTGGTTCCTCACTTTCCCTACTACAAGCCTGAACGAGTTAGCATTCGGCAAGTTCTATCTTATAACCATACATTCACTTCTTTATTTCTTCATCTCAAAATCTTCTTTCTGGCACAAACTCAACTTCGTAGACCTCACATATGGTATGCTTCCACGCTCCATCAATCTAAATTCCAACGGGCTTGTGCTTCCTGCAACCTGCTTCTGGGCCCGTAGTAATCCACCCTACCAGCTGGCATCAAAGATGCCGGCAATTTCGCGAACCTCGCGGCATGTTCGTATTTCGGGCGCAAGCTAAATCTTGCTTTAGATTCTCGTATTTTGATTTGTTTTTCTCTTTCGCACATGAAATTTTAATGCCGCTGATATCCACAAAACAGCGACATCGCGCGGGTCCGAACCTGCGCGCGTCAACCTTAGGCGCCGCCGCACTAACCATTCGACCACTCGTTCAATTTCTGATGTCTGCAGCAGCAATTATAGAAACGCTGCCTAAGTAGTGAGCGCCTGTATGTGAGCATGATCAATACAATGCGCGATGGACGTTGACCTGAAAAAACAGCTGACTGATAAGAGCGAACGAGAGACGAAACCGTTGCAAATGAGATTTGAAGCAATTGCAAAATGTTATTTATGGCATTATAATATCAGCAATCGTTTCTTGTGCGTACATATCATCAATTTGGGGGAGAGGAACTCAAATGATGGCAAAAATGATAGTTTTTCGATGGAAAATAAATTTATTAGTTTTTTTGCTGGACGTAAATTGTGTGATATTGCAGCGCGACGCATTTTCACAGACGCCGTCGGCAAAGATGCCGGCATCTGGACGTGGTAGGGGCACGTCCACATGCCGGCAGGTTGCACTCCACCAAAAACATACTATTTCGTGCACTCTCTGACCTGCCGGCAGGCTGCGATCTGGATGGCATCTCAAATTTCGACAAGAAGAGATCGTGAACCTGCCGGCAGGTTCACAATTCGGGCCAAATAAATGGCAGACGAGGACATTTTTTGGATTTCCTTTCAATTCCCATACTATTTCGACAGCAAAACTGGACCGTAACACAAAAAAAATAGATGATCAGCCGGCTTGAGGGTCCCCGAAGGCAGTTTGAGATTTTAGGGACTTCAAGTCCACATCAGGGCGACCTCAGGGCATAAGATGCCGGCAGGTAGGGTGGATTACTACGGCCCCTGGGCCCGTAGTAAACCCCCCGCATGTGCTGACATATAGCTCGGAGTCTGCTGTGACATGTGCTGACTACCATGGAGCGAGGCAGGCAAGGCGGCTATCCTTTATCATTGCCGGCGGACGCAATCAATGCGAAGCGCCAGGGTAGTCCCACTTTGTCGCTATATGTCGCGACATATCGCGACATATAGCGACATATTGCGACATGTCGTGACGGACAAGACGGCGAAATACTTTGTCCGTCATGGAGACGCAGAGATATAGCGCAAGACTAGAGCTCGACTACGCCAACCTCGCAATAGGTCGCACATGCACACGGTTCTCTGTAACGCACGTCAATTGCAATCAATATCAACAGCTGATAAGCGCCCAACAGCGCCGAGCAATGTGGCGCTTCCATTTGCTAGATACTTCTGCTTTGTACACCCTGTTATTCAGAAAAAGGTGAGTTGTTTTCGACGTAAATGTAGATTCGGTCATATTTTCTGCTTGCTAATTCATGCTTGTGCTATTTTTCTTTTTTTACTTTCACAATCTGCCTCATGCGCGCACCAAATCTCTTTTTCGTGCCAAAATTCCTCAAATTCTTATCTCTTCTTCTATCCTAGCATTTTTAAACAGATATTTTTGCTTGAATTGCTGTTCGTTAGCCGTACACCTCTCGCTTCCTTTCTGTTTTTGGGAGAAGGGACCGTTTGGTGCTATGGCCAAGGAAACAGCAAATTTTTGAACATTTTGCTAAAGTAGTAAATGTTTGATGATTTTTTCATTTTTCTTATGCACTTCCAACATTGACTGTTCTGAATGCCATTTCCTCTTTACTACCAGGAAATTCCCTAACATGAGTTTATTTGCGTGAAAATTCAACTATTAGCAAACTGCAAAAGGCGGCATCGCGTAGGATTTGAACCCTCCCCGCTTGGGCACGCTGGCCTCTGACACTGGCACTGCGCTATCTAATCGTTATCTTCAAATGCTTTATATGTGTAATTTTACACTTATTGCGAGAGCAGTAATTACTTCTACAATACTAATATTACGGATTGGGAATATTGCAAGTAAAACTTCATGTCGTGTGCCCGTACTGATTTTTCTACAACAGCTTTATTTGCTACGCGCGTTCTTCCTCTTCTAGTAAAACACAGTGAATTTGGTACTTATAGCGCAGCGAGTGTGGGCGCTGTTGTCAGGGTTATCGATGGTTCGATCCCGTGTTTATGCGTTTGTTTTGCGGCGCCCTGCGGATAGCTCGCTATAATCTTGCGAGATACTCCGAGCTATCACGACATAGTCCCTCCATGTTGTGTCAACCAAGAGGGGTTTACTACGGGCCCTGATGTCATTCCTGTCAAAACTATGTGTAGCCGAAGTGGATAAGACGAAATCAAAGGGATAGTCGCAGTCACGTGATGGGTGCGGTGGTCATCCTCCACATCCATCGCCGCACAAGTCTCCTGAGCGCGCCATTCCGATCACTTTGCACATCTAAAGCAGCGAATACAAGTGACAATAAACTGAATTGTTGAATTCGAGGTCTGTCATTTAGCCACTCAATCTCGTTTTCTATCAGCTTTCTCGCCTCCATTGGAGTGATCCCTTCGTCCGGGTGGACTCTGAAGAAATGCCGCACCTGTCCACATAGCCAATATCTGGCCTGGATAGAGGCTGGAGGCTCCGAGAATGTCACAGCACGGAAAACATTGCTTTCAGATTTCATTCTCCTCGACATGCGGCCAATCAAAGCTGCAGAGACCCCTCGTAATCCTGACAGTTCAATATTATACAATATATACAATATTGTTATTACATTATACAATATTATTATACAACATTACAATACTATACAATATTATTATACAATATTACAATATTATACAATATTATCGTACTCGTGCAATCCATTTTCGATGTTAGAATTCGTCGAATAAGATACAACGAAGATCAAGTCGATTGGACAAAAAAGAAGAAAGTCTTTGCTTCAAAGACAGGCTGTTCTGATAGCCGCAAACTGATATAGAACTGGAAATCGACCATGTCGCTGAGGGGGTAAGAGTAAAGATGATCGCTCTTCAGAAGGCTTGATTCGTTCTTCGGGTAGAAAGACCGACGCAAAGTAGCATCCATTACATACTGCGAATGTTCACGAAAATTGACCGCATCTTCCAAGTTCAGAATTACATTAAAGGACAGCGTCAAATGCATAATCCGCATGGTTAGAGGCACACGAGGGATAACGATCTTACAAATTTAGCAAGCAAGTAATCCAATTCAGGAACGTCCTTATAGACGTCACAGACAGGTCATCAGCTAAATGTGGGTGCTGTAGAATGACGATGGATTCGTTGCAGATCCACAAAACGGGCCCAAGGATGGCGGCGGAGATAATGCCAAAAATCAGCAGGAGTGTACTCAGATAAAGCGTCGGATTCTTGTGCGGTAAAAACAAAATACTGCTTACAAAAATACATAACCTGTTAAACCTCAGTGATAACGATACATCTCCTAAGAATCTTCATATACACTCTTTCGACGTCGAAACTCCATTTTAGTGATGTATTATAATTGATGTGATTAATTTCGCAGAAAGAGATCGGAGTAGATATTCGCCAAATCCCATTACGTGGTCACATACACTAAAGAGGAATAGAATAATATAGAATAGAAGGCCAACATACCCTACTCCAGAAATTTCGCGCCTTTCTCGAAGAAATCGATGCAACACCCACACTTACCAAGCTTTAAAAAGAAGCATCAAGCATAGGAACGCATTTATTTCGCCGACCTCTTGGCACTGTCGCTCAAAGAAAGAAGGAATCAAAGAAATAAGGCAGAGAAACTATTTTCTAAAAGAAAGCATACAAGGATAGCTTACTCTAATTGACATTCGCAGCCTTTCTTGAAGAGATGATGTGATAATGACTTGACTAAACAAAAAAATAACCTGAAAGCATACAGAAACTACGGCCTACCTCTAGATATGCCGCTCTTCAGGATTGACCTGCCTATGCTGATGCGGTTCTTCAAAATGATTGCTGAAACAGGTCGGGTGTCACTACGGAAGCGGCTTTTTCTAACCGCACCCTCATTTGACCATCGCGTAGTTTCTAAGCTGCTTGTTCAACAGTTTTCCTCACTTCGAGACATCTAATGGAATGAAGCAGAACAATTTGTGAAGGATTTAAGAAAGCTGTACCTCTTGAATCTAACATAATTACTATGATATTATATACAGGGCCCGGCACGAGTCGGTTTCTAGGGTTTCTGATAACGAAGTCTCTCCTTACTTTCGGAAGTTTTACGAAGTTCCCTTTGACCAACCTGCTTAGGAGAAGATGAATACAAGTTTACTAGTCTGAAAGAAAAGACGTAAGATAAGAGTGAAAATCCAAATTGGAGCTGAATACTACGCACGCACAAGAGTTTGGCATTAGAGCGCGATATTTAACAAAGCGAGAAGAAATGAAGGCAAAAAAACAAAGGAAAGGCAATGATATGAAGATGTCTTCATGCTTAGGGATAGATTTTGGGCCGGGGAATCTGTCCATGCCAAAAAGATCCGAAACTTATGTGAAGTGGCAGAAATATATGCTCCAGACGATCTCGGATCGTCTGGTGGCCGTCTGGAGACGATCTAATTTTGGAATAGATATTACTTCACATAAGTTTTCAAATCTTTTTACATAGTTCTTTCGCAAATAATTTTGTATACATACAGTTCAAATTTGGTGTCATATGATTCTGTTTGCGCTGTAAACAAGCAATTTGTTTATTTAAGCATTGATTTTGAATCGCGCGCACTTTTCGCCATGCACGATAGAGCATGTCAATCGTGTCCTGTCCGAAAAGCTTGTGTTCGACTAAATGGCGCTTATTCTTTGTGCTCGGCCCCGACTCGTCAAAAACGATATCCCCTTTGCTGTTTGCTTCAAAAACGAAGTCCAGCCTGCTTCCAGACGATCTGTGCCGGGCCTTGATTATATACGAAAGATTTGAAAGAGGGAAAGGGAACCGCCAGTCTCCCGGTTTGGCACACTTCATCTGGCGTTCTTGGACACCGCCCAGGTTAAAGAACAAGAAATCAAGTAACCCACCTTAGGGATGTTTCAAACTGCCGCATTGACCGCAGCAGGCTGCAGCTGACTGCACCTGACCGCACTGAGCGCACAGGACCTTGCGTCTTTTCGTAAAGATGGGGAGGATAGATAGTTGTAGCCCAAACAATCAATAACAATATGTGCCTAAACCCAAAAAACAACTCAGCGGGAATATTACAAAACAGGTATATACAATTATAGGAGCAATCAGAACAAATATGGGCATACCAAAGAAAAGCAATTTCCAAAATTCGATTGAGAAGAGTAATTTGGAACCTATGAACCTTTAACCCTAAAGCCTTCCTAGTCGTAAATCATGGTGTTTTGATGTAATCGCAACTATCTTCTCTTTTACGGAAGGATGAAGCGATCTGTGCGGCCGTTGCGATCATTGCGATCATTGCGGTCGGCTGCAGTCTGCTGCAGTCTGCTGCAGTCAGTGCGGCAGTATGAAACAAGCCTTAGAGGTTAGCATCTGAAAAGCACCGCAGGCACCTGCAATTAAACAGGTATTTTCATGGAGAAAGTTGCCAAAAATTCATACTTATTTTCTTCTCAGAAATCAATATTAGAGAATGGTTAGGTGAAGCAGAAGTGAAGCATTATAAGAGCAAGAGTTAAAACGAAGGTAGGTAAAGATAATCATCGAAAGTGAAGACGTCTAGGCATGCGTTCCTAAGTGGATTCTGTATCATTGTATTTCGCAAAGAGACCATTGTTTTACTACACGATTACGAAATGACTTGAGTAAGTGCACACTTGCGAAATCCACTAACGCACTTCGAGTTAATGAAATCGCCTCGCCAAAAAAGAACGAGGCAATGCCTCGAACACAAAGATAGTGTAGTTTTAACGAACATTCACAGCATTAACCAACAGTTGTGGACATGTAGTAACAACACTATGAGGATTCCAGTTCATTGACGCTGTTTTAAAGTTTATGAGGTGCGATATCAGGCTGATAGCGTGTTATCGTGCTATCTATATCTCACAAACAGCAGAAAATCCATATTTTATTGGGCCATGCAATTTTGAACGCAAAACTATATCGGAAGATTTCCAAAATTTACAATAACACAAATTTAAATAAATAAGAAATCAAACAGATTTCTTAGAAATTTTGACACCAGAATACAATCAAGACCTTATAATAACGGGCTACGTGTGTGTGTGTGTGTGTGTGTGTGTGTGTGTGTGTGTGTGTGTGTGTGTGTGTGTGTGTGTGTGTGTGTGTGTGTGTGTGTGTGTGTGTGTGTGTGTGTGTGTGTGTGTGTGTGTGTGTGTGTGTGTGTGTGTGTGTGTGTGTGTGTGTGTGTGTGTGTGTGTGTGTGTGTGTGTGTTACGAGATTCGTAGAGCATGTTCCAGCCAACGTCCGGAGCAAATTTTGCACAGCACATGCTACCAAGGTGAAAGGTTCAATATGCAAAACCACATCTCGAAAAGTGCACGTCAAGCGGACCCTCTTGGCTTTTGGCCAGCAAAATTTGGCCTGTACCACCACTTTTTGTGAAGTCATGCATATGTTCAACAAGTTAATGCGGAAGCCACAGACTTCAGCCCATAGAATTGAACTAAAGTTGATTACTTTACGAAAATGGCGCCAAAAAGGACCGGTTACGTAAGCGTTCAATTTGCCAAGATTTTACCTGATCATTTGAGAAGAACTTGCATGGAGATGTAGCCCAGGGTGATTATTGTCCTTATGGCGACTACCAAGCCATAAAAGGTCCAAAAACTGATTCATTGCATTCATGCTGCTGGGAAAATTTCATCCACGCGAAAATAACAACCTCACAAGAAAAGCTCTAGGAATGAATAGTTGTTTATAAATCTCTGTGATAGCCTGCATAGTGCGGTGAGTTTTAATGTCATTATTATGCCAGAATGAGTAAGGCATACAAAAAGTAGAGTCAGTGCGAGCCTCTGCGAAGCAGAGGTGACGCATTTGTAGCTATATATTGACGCTGAAGTTCCAAGAATTTCAATTTTTTCAATAAAAAAAATCTTAAAAATCAAAGTCAGTTTCCCATGAACACAGAAATTGAAATGCGGTTTCCTGGAGCATTTATTAGAAGTGGTTCCTTTCAATTCTGGGTCTTCTTTTGGTTTTGTGTTCCAAATTTTTCTTCCATTACTAGCTGGCTTACCTGTTCCTCCCAGCCCTGTCAAAACACTGGATAAAGGTCTTATCCCTATACCTGCACAACCTTTCCCTGTTTCTACATGCCAGTTACTTACTTGCTATTTGCTCACTGTTAGTTATCAGCATGCTCACTTACCCTCCTCCGTGCTAACTGCCAGCCCCGTGGTGTAAACTATGGAAAAAAGTCGATAAAATCGATCAAAGTAACGAATAAATTCAAAAACTAAAATTGTATTCGTATTGCATGCTCGATTACCCTCCTGTGCCGACTACCAGCCCCACATTTCAAACTTTATAAAAAATCTATAAAATCGATATCGATCGATGACGAAAAGTAGCCCGAGCACCCGCTCCGCCCCAAAGTGTATGCGTGCAAAGTTTGGTCCGGATCGATTAGAAATAAAAGTTTTTTTTTGGAACATACGTACGGGGGGGGGGGGGGCGCCCCCCTCCCCCCCGAGAACGGGTCGCGAAATTCT